CATGCTCCTTGAGAAATTTCTACTTCCTGCTTACATGATTTAATCCTCGTCCTCTATGAACTACAAGCAGACGGAGTATGAAGTCAAGTCTGAAACTTCGAAGCACTGGATGTACCCCACATCCACATTGCCTCCTCCACATATACGCATACTTATGCTTAATAAATCAAGTTAATCCACATTACCAAAAGCCCAGTGTTCTATTGCCCACTAAAATATGGCACAACGAAACAAGGACATCAGCCACAAAGAAAGCATACCATCAAACAAATTCCATTGTAGCTAGTGTTGCCCCTTAGCTCCCTTCAATGGTACTCATACTGCCTGCACCGTTTGCAAAATTTCGCTTCTCGACACCATCTACAGACCACGGTCTCCCTTGATGCCTGGTTGAAACAGCTGGGACAATGCCATTAAAAAGAAAAAGATGCAGCCAATGTAAGGAAAAGCAGTGAGCATAACAAAGCATCAAGAAGTGCCTCTATTTATACAAGTCGGCCCATCATTAAGCAATTGTGTGTCATTTCGTACATTGTTGAGACGAAGTGCAGCTGCGTGGTGCCATTTTGCAGTCTTGGGAACAGAGCCACAAAGTTTGCCCTGGCAGCTGGTGAAAGGGGCCCAGTATTAACATACTAATATAATAAAAAAGGTCACTGCATCCTTTGTGCATTCACTTAGATGACCTGAAAGCAAAAGCCAAGTTCCCCCCCCCCCCCCCGCAATCTGTTATGAATCCAACAGGCAAATGAAGTGCCACAAAAACAAATGCAGATATTGGTGCACTGCTTGCAAAAATTTGACTGGATTCGCCCATGTCAGAAACTGAAGCCCAGTTTTCTGAAGGAGTTCCGCTCTATGCAGAACTAGTGCAGAAGCCTACCTCCGGTTGCAGCCGCACAGTCGCACCGTGCACGTATCAGCGTCCCCTTCTCGCAGCATGAGTCATCGCATCTACGACATGTTCAGGGCGGATAAGGCAACAGGCTAGATCAACAAAACAATACTTTATCGCAACATTAGTATTAACGCATAAATAGTCCACTCCATGTAGAGCGGACAGTCCACTCTATGTAGAGAATAATTGGTAAGGCTTACTTTTTTTTCGATTGCAGGCTCCCCGGTTCCTTGAAGTGAATCAGGTCGGTGGCCATAGGCACAAATGGGCCGGTCTCAGCTGTTTTCTTCACCTCTGGTTGCCCTCCATGCCTGCCAAGGGCTGTTTCTCTCACAAGGGAAAAGTACCCTTTCTTGCAAGCAGGGAAGCAAATAAGCAGCGCAAGTTAGCTGCAGGTCTAAGAGGCTACAGTCTGAGGGACCGGTTTGTCCCCATTCCTACACTGTGGTCACGCCACTGTTATAGAAAAGAAAATGGGCGTGCCTGCTCTCCCACATTTATTTCATGAATGACTTCAGGAGTGGTCTGAAAAAAATAATGATGGGCATGCAATGCCTTTGTAACCCATAGTAGTCACCGCATGCTTTTTTTTTGTGTACTGGCATGCTGCAAAAAAAAAAAAAAAACATATCTATAGTGATGCCATTGCATACAAATAAAATCTTACCTGCTGAATTGCATCTTGAAGCAGCCATCCGTGGGTCATTTTTCTTTAGAAAAGTTGCGAGTGAACGTGAGCACATCGCTGTGTGCTCATAGATGGAAATGCATGCGAATACGAGCTTTAGTGCGGGCATCATCATCATCATCATCAGCCTGACTACGTCCACTGCAGGACAAAGGCCTCTCCCATGTTCCGCCAGTTAACCCGGTCCTGTGCTTGCTGCTGCCAATTTATACCCGCAAACTTCTTAATCTCATCTGCCCGCCTAACCTTCTGTCTCCCCCTAACCCGCTTCCCTTCTCTGGGAATCCAGTTAGTTACCCTTAATGACCAGCGGTTATCCTGTCTACGCGCTGCATGCCAAGCCCATGTCCATTTCCTCTTCTTTATTTCAACTATGAAATCCTTAATCCCCGTCTGTCCCCTAATCCACTTTGCTCTCTTCTTGCCAGTGTGGGCTGGTAACTGTAAATGGAAGAAACATGACATGTGTGCTAGGGCGACTTCAGCTGGCCATGATGTGGTGTAGCCTGCTGGCATTCACAGGCATAGAGTTGGAGACCACTGCTATGTTATGCATTGGCACATAATGCTTTACGGTCAATGCGTGCGAGCTCTAATTTCTGGAATGAATGTGCCCAATATAAAATTACAGGCCCCCGGCGGTTCCTTGGAATTTCAGGTTTGCATGCTGCCATGCATCCCCCATATGTCACGAGGTTTATTCAGTCAGAATGTGGTTGAACAGGCAGCTGTCACAGATGTGCAACCACAAACTTGTGCTGGTTAAAATGCTGCTACGTTTATAAACTGGGGAACTTTTGAAAGTCTTTCATGTAAATCTGGAAACTGGGTGTGGCAGCTTGCATCCCTTTTTCATGAGCAAGAACAGCCAAAGTATTCCAGAACTGCCACTTTAGGCATACTTGACGAAATATCACCAATATCTCACTCATATTTTGTGTTCCCAGGTTATTGCTGAGAGCTGTGCAGCCTCAAATTTTTCACCACCACATCTTATGAGCAATGTGTAGTCAGGTATCTATCAAAAGTGTGTCAAGAAGCCCAGCACTAATTGAGACTTGCATCATGTAGTAACTATTCGTGATGCTGCCTAAGGATATTTCGGCCGATTAACGGGACTGTGGACTTTCACACGTGGGGCGGCTCTACATTTATTTCCGCATCTGGTCTGTCTCGGCAGCAGCCGGTAGCCAAGCAGGACCGGAGCTGGTGAAATTGCAGGGAACATGCTGCTGCCGAGACAGATCAGATGCGGAAATAAATGTAGAGCCACCCCACGTGTAAAAGTCGGCAGTCCCGTCAATCGGCCGAAATATCCTTAAATAGCATCATGAATGTGTGCCGCAAAGCATAAGAAAGTAGAACGAAGAATGGCTCACACTGCGGCAGGATAGACGCGGAGCAAGCAGGTATGGTCTCGGTGTGTCACAAGCAGGTAATCTTCAGGAAATACCGCATCGGTGGGGTAGCTTGCATGGGTGCTGAGTCGACAGCACAAGGAAGAATGGCTCGATGCCCACCTTGACGCCTGAAGCACGTGGATTGATGATCCTCATCGCCAAAATGTTCTCCATGCAGCGCGTCCGCCGCACGATACTACACATCACCTTCGCAGTTTCTGTGTTTCCAGCTCGAGTGTTATGTACACTGTCGTCCTTTACGAAAGGGAACATGCAAACGCGTGGCCTTCGCTCTGCCGCGGCTGCCTCAAGTGCCATCAACCAACAGCAAAAGAAAACACGTTCGCTTTCAGCAGCATCTGTTGCAAAAAAAATAATGAGTTATGGCCGGTAGACAGGTGCTGCTAGATTGCACTTCCTCTCTGCTCACGCCCACAGGGCATAGCCCACTGCCAACATATCAAACGCTGAGTGCGGCCACGGCGCAAGCTGCAGTAATCACCTGATATCGCTCATCGCGCGAGCGGTCAGGAAACGTAATGTAGCAGCGCTTGTATATTGGCCGTGACTCGTTACCTTGCTTGGCCATAGATGACGCCAAAAGCACACGTGCTTTCTTCACTTGTGGGTTGATGGTGCTAAAGGCAGCCGCCGCAGAGCGCAAGCCCCGTGTTCGCATGTTCCCTTTCATAAAGAACGACAGTGTGTACACATATAATGCTCCTGCTGAGATGCTATCTGCAAACTGCCAAGATAGTATACCAGTCTGAACGCTGTAGTCTTTACATGCTCTACAAAAGCTGAGCAATGCGTGCAACACGCTCTTGCTAAAGAACCCCCTGCTTATAGACTGGATTGGTATTTTTTTTTTAAATCGCTGCCAATATGTACCTTATAAAACATTACATTCCTCTGAAACACACGAACCATCACGAGTGCCCCAAGGATCCGTGCTAGGGCACTTACTCTTGTTATTGTACATTAACGACCTACCAGGCGTAGTTTCCACTAAAATTCTTCTTTATGCTGATGGTTGTGTCCTGTATCAGGTAATCAATTCGCCTGATAATCATCATACACTTAACCTTTCAATCTTAAACTTTTGCACATGGTGCCAGAATAGGCAGATGAACATTAATTTCTAAAAGACTGCTGCCATGTGCTTTAGCAGGCAGAAAACCTCATCAGCATTCAATTATTCGCTTAGCAACTATGTTGTACAGCGCGTACCACATTACAAATATCTTGGGTCTCCTTTTCACCACAAACTTATGGTCTCAACACACTGACGCAAATTGCTGCAAAGCTCTAAAAAAACTCGGATATCTTAACCGTTCGCTACGTTTAGCCCCAAAAGAAACAAAATTGTTAACATATAAAACTCTCATAAGACCAACAGTTGAATATAGTGCCCCTGTAATCCCACAATCCATAAAATCATACTTCAATCATAACATCAACTGTAATCCATTAAATCATAGCGTTTAAGGGAGCGATGACATGGTAATAACTGAAATTTGCCATCTTCAGAAGCAAATCAAAGTAAAGGGTTTATAGTGCCTATATATTTATAAAAATAGACTGCAAACTGATATTTCAGTGCAAATAAGCTCTTAAAAGTTGCCGGTTATAAACCCCACCTACTACCTGCCACCATTATTTCGCCATGGCGGGTATGATGCCACGTTCTGCATGGAAAGAAGCAGTCATCTTCTATCAAAGCTGAAGCCGTTGCCAATCATTCCATTTTAATATGAGATAGCTTGATTGGCCACGCACCTGAGCATTGAATTAATTTACAAGTTGCTCGCAGAGCAACTTACAAATCAATTCAATGCGAGCAACTGTACCAAATACAGTTGCTCGCAGAGCAAGCAGCTCGTTACATCATTGCTTGCGTGGGCACCAGTGTAGCCCAACCCTCAGGCCGCTCTTGCTTCTATAAAAATATTCACTTAGAACTTGCGTGTTCAACCAAATGTGTGAAAATTTCCCCAGTCCACAAGGCTTTTTCCAAATTTCATTCTGAACAACCTTTCACTTTTATTTGATTTTGACAAAAGCAGCAGCTCTGTTCTTACAGATCAAGTGTCAGTAATAAATGAAAGCTTTAGTGCTCACTACAATATCTGTAGTTCAAAACAAAAGAAATTGAAAACGTGAACAACACACATGAACAACACAAGAAGCACGACTGCATAGCTGAAAGCACGAGAAAAGTGAAAAAGAAGCAGAGATCGGCAAGCGTGATTAACACTTGTGCCAAAAATAAAATCTTACTGATGTTAGACCATACTAAAGCTCACGCTGCATTCTCGCTTGGTCACCTCACTAAAATAATCGATATCACAAGAGCAGGGTTATTTGATGAATGCCTATATATAGAAAGCGATGACTTCTCTGAGACAATGCAGTAAATAGGCCGGATGATATGAATTCATGAAATTTTGACAACATGAGACACATAAGAGCTGTTAGCAAAGCTTAAAAACTCAGTCCGCTAAAGCTGAAGCCTACCTCACTTCTCAGTTTGGTACAGTTTTAGCATACCGATGAACCACCCCTAGCTGCCAATGAAACAAACTGTTTTGTTCACGAACCGACCTTGCTTTAGCATGCTTGTTTAATTCTGCTTCAAGAAAATTGCATTGTACAACCTGCCAAGGGGTCAACCAATTAGTAAAAGACCAGTGAGTGTACACACATCAATGTACAATTTAAAGGTGAAAATTCAACAGAATTCTGCCCAATTGGCAATGAACTTATGACCGAAACATAATTACAGCAATCAAACTAAAATTGAGAGTACGAACTTCTTGTTTCTGCTTTACAACAACGAAAAAAGCCTGATGTTTCGGATCCCACTCTGACCTCCTTCAAGTCAAAGTGTGACTGCCTTCTTCAGGGGTGACTAGGGGGAGCACCTCAAAGCAGCGTTTATACAGCGATGCAGCAGTCATTCTACACTACATCACCTTTGAGCACTTTCATGTCATTAACCGGCCGCTTTAGGAGCAGGCAATTTCAGAATTGCGAAACGAGGAACTTTTTTTTTTTTTTGAGATTCCAACCAGGAAATGACGAAGGCACTGCTGTAGTTTTGCGGTCAACCGGATTCGCAAAACGACTATGCCAATCCCATACTTCAGTGTGAGCACAACTTTTTTTCGCCTTTAACCCCTTTTCTCCTCCCTCTTTAACTTTCTATCCTGTTTTTCCTTCCCCAGTGCAGAGTAGCAAACCAAAAATTTTGTTCCGGTTAACCTTCCTGCTTATCACTGAACGTTTCTCTATATCTCTTGTGGAATCCAGGCAACACCCCATAACATTTAATGGTACACAGGTGCACTGCCACACGTCCACTTCAATGGACTCTCAATTGATAGCAGGTGTGACACCATTGTCTGAAGAAAAGACAGCTGTATAAACCCTGCTTTCTGGTGCCCCCCCAAGTCAACCTCTGAAGAAGTGTAGGTGCAGGACAAGAAATGTCAGATTTTTTCATGTTTTTGACCTAAAAAAATAGTTTTAATCAGTACCGTGGTTGGTGTCCCTTCGTTTTAAGAAATAGACTTGCGGCAAGCATCGTAAGCCATCAAGAAGCCATCTGTGACGTTCAGTGATACTATGTGTCGACTCCACCAATCAGCTGCCTCATGTCGTTGGTAAATTTGAATGAATGGGCAGGTTCAACAAATGCATGTAACCTTAATTAGACTCACTCGTTTATGGTAAAAACAAGTTTTCATGTAATAATTCCTAAACAGACAGGGCTGCAAGAAGCAATAAATGCAGGAATTAGCTGTAGTTACCCCATTAAATGGAAGCACACAACTAAACATACAGCATTATAACTGTGAAATTCACGAGGGTAACCTTTTTTTAAAAGAAGTGTAAATAAGCTGACTTAAATGCCCCCATAAGCAAAGACATATCAATGCGAACCTACTGCTTGTACATCAACACAGAAGTGCTTACATTTCTCAGCATCCTGGCAATGTTCAGAAGATGGCTTGCACTTAATGCCACTTCACAATCATTTAAGTGTGACCAAGGACTACTAAATAGAATTGGTTCTTGCTAATCTTTCACCAGCATAATTAGCTAGAACATCAGGATGCCACCCGTTATAGAAAGCCTGCACCCTTGTTTAATCATTGAACCGAATGCACAAGAGGGTTTAGCTTGAAGCTCAACTGTGCCTTGCAAGCAGATTCTATAAAAGTGTTTCTGCAAATGATATGATAAACTGATGAAACTGCTTCAGTGAGGTAAGCGTAAAGGTAATAACAAGTCTAGATTTTATGCATATCACAGTTGAGATGGTCAAATAAGAGACGAAGTATGAAAGAGTGTAAGAAAAGGTGGAGGAGATATACAACTGTCACATAGCCGTGACTAATTCAAATGCTTTGGTAGAACACTCAGGTGCTGCAAAAACTCTTCGACGACTTTGATGGCTAAGGTGCTAAAAAAAAACTGTTAGCACTCTGCTCAATGCTCGTTGCCCTCTTAAATCTGAGCGCATAAACAAGACAACACGACATATTCACTATGTCATTGAAGAAAGGCAATAAGAAGAAAATGAAATGAATTATGAATCGACAGTTTTGTCGGCCCTTTACAGGAAACTGATCGGGGCCGAAAGCAAGTCGAGACTTCCGGGTTGTGTCCTGACAACTCCTGTTCTTCATTCGACGACAAAACGCACCTTGAATTCGTTGTTTTTGACAAACCCGCTCTGGAGCATTTGTGTCACCGACAGGCACCTGTCTAGGCCGATGCTGTCGTTTTCTTTCTTTTTGGGCCGCTTGAGAACAGTGTTGGCCGCGTTCTGCATCTCCTCGACGCCCTTGAGGGCAAAGACATCGAAGCTCACGTCTCGGGTGCGCTGCTTGTGGTGGAGAAGCACAAAGGTGCATTTCCGGTTGAACGGCCACTCAAGCGAGGCATCGTTGGGGCCCTTCATGATCCTTAGGTATAGTGCGAGGTATAGCGAAGAGTCCCCGAGGTCATGGAACTTGCCCTCGAGCTTCATCCTGTACCCATTCTCACCAGACAGTGAGCACGTCACTCGTAAAGACCTGCAAGGGGGCGTTGCGGTACTTGCGGAATGGCTTGATCACCCAGTTGTAAATGAAGAAAACGCTCGGACCCGTGCAGGGCTCCACTGCGGCTGCACCCGAGGTTGACTCAACAACAGCCTGGTCTTCAGGCTCCCCATTGAGACCATTAACCTGGGGTTCCGACGGCGAGGCCTCTCTCGAGCTGTTCGGCGATTCATCGCCCGCGGCTCCACCGTTGGTTACAGGCGTGACGTCACCGTTGGCTTCGGAGAGTGAAGTCGATGACGTAGACGCGACGTCGGGTTGTCGTTCTTCGCCGGCCTGCGTGGTAGTGTCTGCCGTAGCGGTAGTGTCCGGTCGGGAATGGCTTTCAGCCCTCGCGACTTCGCTGTTTAAAATCGGCGCCGGCGGCGGCTGGACGTCGACAGTTGCGCGTTCGCGCAGAATTTCTTCGAGCCGATTGGTACGCGTCAGCACGACGTTCTCCAGGTTTTCGATCTTGCTTACCAGCGTCGACAGGGAGCACTCGGCGTCGGAGCCGCCGCTTGCGGTCGCGGACGGCGCCTGACTGGTTGCCATCACGTCCGACTTGCAGCCGGAGCGCAGGTGGGCCATCACGTTCTTTCTGGCGACGGGCTTCTTGCAGGAGCGGCAGTGGACCATGTGGTGGCTGCACTCGGAGTAGTAGTGCTCCACCATTTCGGACACGGGACCCACGTAATTGCACCCGCTCGACTTGTTGAGGCAGTAGGACTTGCAGCCGCTGACGTACGCCTGTGACGAGGAGTCGCGGCTCACGCTACCTTCCTCGAAACTGCCCTTGTCGAAAGGACACACGACGACGGGCGAGTTCAACATGAGTTCGTTCATGCAAGTGGTGCAAAAGACGTGGCCACACTCAAGACTGAAGATCAAGTCGGGAACAATTCCGCAGATGCTGCAGATGCGGTACACGGGCATGGGCAACAGGAACTCGATGCATTTCCAATCTATTTTGGGCGAAAAACCGACGCACGTGTACCGATGGGTGGCCATGGCGCTGTTCTCTGGGCAGGCAGCTGCTTGACAGTTGCTCACGAATTCTACACTGAGCGAATTCTCTGCGGTTCACCAACGCCGCGCGGTCTTTCTTTGTTGAGTTTGATTTGGAACTGCTCTCGTGGGCGCGTTCTTTTCGCCGAGCGACATATGCACTTTCTGAAGCACAGCATGAGCGCGATGAAAATAAAGGTATTACACCTGGTGCAAAATACCATTACAACGAAAAATAAATAAAACCCCAGAAAACTCAAATAAATTAGTGAAATGCATTTTTTGTCATACTGATTTCTTAAAAACAAACATCAAAACACAACGCATCATGGGAACACAACGCTGCATTCAATTATTCAATAGAGTGACTTTTGTCAGCGCCGTTAAAAAAAAAGTTTTGTTTGTTGTTCTTGTTAAATTATAATTACAAAAAAATAACGCATCTTATTAGGAAAAGTAACCAAATGATAATCACTGCGTAACATAAGCATAGCTTGTTGTAACAGTTATTTGAACGTGACTCAATTAGACACAAATCTATGAGGCCATGCTTTTGCCTACTGCAGCCTACGTCAAAAACATATGTTTAAATTGCGCTGGTTATTTATGTGCCCTTTGTCGTGAGGAATAAGCATACAGTTTTATAAAATAATATATAGAGGAACTTCTGGCACTGTAACAATTGTACTCTCATAAAAATTACAAAAAATACAAATTTGGAGTGGATTGGATTAGATTGAATTAAATAAAAATGTTTGCAAATTTTTTTAACAGTTTCACTTTCGTTCTTTCTGCAGCGTGCATTGAGTCAATATACAGACTCTATGGCAGCGTGGGTAGTGGGTGCGGCGCAAGTCACTCAAGCAGTGTCTTTGTTGTTTGAAGAGGCTGAAGGCCGCTGGTTATGAAATCAGATGTGACGTTGGGGCTTTACAAGTTGTATATGACATTTTAGGCGAAGCGGCGCACTCACCGCTAGGACATTGCGTCGAGTTAACGTTGTATCAAATTTTCATCATAGTTTCTTGTCAAAATTGATTTAACCTTGCTCATCAGTAATGTATATGTTAGTTCTTAGTAGATTTAGTTATTTTCTGTTGATCTGAAAAGTCAATAAAGACTGTTTCGCGTTTTGCAAATTTTGCAACGGCTGTATTTTTTTTCTATTCCCTGCAGTACTATGATTTCCTAGGTATGCTTTCTTATATCGAACCTACAACTAGCCTTTGGCTAGAGGCCCGGCAGGTGATTGTTAACTCTGTATATAATATAAAATAAAATACTCTTAAAAAATCGACTGCAAAACGACGGTAAAGCAAATTTACTCAACATCATACTCCTCTGACTCTAACTGATAACAAGCCCCGCCGCGGTGGTCTAGTGGCTAAGGTACTCGGCTGCTGACCCGCAGGGCGCGGGTTCGAATCCCAGCTGCAGCGGCTGCATTTCCGATGGAGGCGTAAATGTTGTAGGCCCGTGTGCTCAGATTTGGGTGCACGTTGAAGAACCCCAGGTGGTCGAAATTTCCGGAGCCCTCCAATACGGCGTCTCTCATAATCATGTGGTGGTTTTGGGACGTTAAACCCCCCATATCATCATCATCATCGAACTGATAACAAAGCGGTGCGTTGGGGGCAGACCACGACCACTTGAACCGACGCAAATGGCATAGCCACAGACGATACATTGTTTTTCATTTATTATTGTATTGTTATTTTCATAAATAGATACAGCGTACTTCCGAGGGAAAAACAAGAAAGTTTGTTTTCAAATGTTTAACAAATGACTCATAATGTCTGGATGCCAAACGTGGAACGCAGTGACAGATCAATGCATGCCCTGGTGCTTAAACTAATTGGACCAGGTTTCACTTCAGTGTTATTCAATAATATAAATTGCGAAACTCCCCATGGGCTTCATGTATCAAAATGCGGACACGTTCGACTGTCGCTACGTCCATCCACCCGTCCGTGCATGCGCCCATTTGTTCATTCGTCCGCGCTATCCTGTGCTCCGTGGATATGCTGGACAGAGGGACGCACGAATGGACGGACGTATGGACACACGGATGAACTCATGAACTGACGCACGGACAGAAAAGCAAGAACGAACGGACGGAGGGAAGCACGCGGACGGACGCTTCACCACACTTGTTCAGTTCGTGGATATACTGATATTTCTCTTTTCTCGCGACAGCACGTACTTTTTATTTTTTTTTTTCCAGTCAGCTGGCAAACGACAACTGTTCTTCAAACTTTTGTGGAAGGTACACAACAAACAGACACATTCAAAGGCACGCGACTTAGGTGGATGTGTTTCACATCTTTAATTTATATAAGTGGTTACCGAATATAGTCCCAAAAAAATCACAGCATATCTACGGAGGGCATGATGAAAAGTGGGGGGAAGCATCCGTTAGTCTGTCTGCACTGCCGTTCGTTCTTGCCTCCGCCTGTCTGTGCGTCCAACTGTGCGACCGCCCGTCCATCCATGTGTCGGTCCGTCCGTCCATGCGCCCATCCGTCCGTCCGTGCATCCGTTCATTCATGCGTCCATCCGTCCGCTTGCTCGTGATCTGTCTGTCTCTCCGTCCATGCGTCTGTCCATCCGTCCGTTCATCTAGTGAACACTCCAAGTACCGTCCTCGCATCTGTTCATCATATATTCATCATATATAACTACCGCCATCCAGCAGACATTCCAAGGACTAAACGAGAGGTGGCTTGCCGGCAGCATGCGAACAACTACGAATTGTTGAAAGCAGAGCTAATAGAACGTATAAGTAGACCGGACGTATAAATAGAACGTATAAGTAGAGCTAATAGAACATATAATTCCAAATCTCCTGATTTGGATGTCTCCAAATCAGGAGGTTAGGAATTATACATTCAATCGGCTCCCAGGTTCCTGCTATAATATCTGCGTGATGCGTACTCTTCGACAAGTTCAGCCGCTTTCGTCGCAGAACTTATGCCACCCCGGTCGAGTAACCAGTTTTATCCTGCTCTGGGAGACAGTTCAAAAACTATTCTAATAGAATCATCTCCACTACAGCGTTCCTGTCACTGTAGGACTCGGTGCTCTTTAGCCATTCTGTCAAATTTGCTCTCATTTTGTACAGAAAGTCAGGATAGCTCACGCTCTTAGATTTTTTAGCGCCCCGAAATCTTTGTCTAAAAGCCTCTGCGCAAAGTCTATACTTTCTTAGAAGGCAAGCCTTGACCTTTTCATAGTTGTCTGCGTCCTCCTTGCCGCGTCGCGCAACAACCTCCGCTGCCTCGCAGGGCAGAACCGTGAGCAGCCTTTGTGATCAGGTGTCTTGCTCGAATGACATTTTCTCGCCCATCCGTTCGAAATTTACAGGTACAGACTAATATCTCCTGATACCACGTATGGCTGGATGTACCGGGACATCTTGAACTCCGCCTCCTTGTTGGGGTAAGGTACCACTTGCTGGGGACCACTGCCCAACCTTTCCCTCAACTCAAGTTCTCGTTTGCGGATCTTGATCTCGTGCGCCTGTCTTTTTGCTTCGCGTTCGCATTCTAAGCAACGCTCGTCTCTTTCGCGCTCACGCCTCTCTTCCTCCTCTTTCTGCTGTCTCTTTCTTTGACTGATGAGGTCCCGTGCTTCACAGAGCTCCTCATCATCAGCCCCCACATCATTAATCACTTGAATGATTATGGGTTTTCGTGCCGAACCCTTTGTATCGATCCCCAATTCCTCACACAACAGCAAAAAGCCCGGCTTCTGCAGCTCCCGTAAGTCCATGATCATACTTAGTGCTCGCTACTTCCAAAAAAACTTCCCGAAACAGTGAAACTGAGTCTTTCGGCAAAGTTAACTACCAGTTCTAAAATTTACCCACTTTTAGAACCTTGTTCACTCAAAGGAAAAGCCAAGCACACACCCATACGTGATCCATGTCTCGAGACAGCTGCTTCCCTTGGGCCGACTGTGACCGTCACTTGTAGCTTCCTATCCCACCGCTGCCACCAAGTTGTCGTGGCTCTCGGCGCTGTTCTCCAGTAGTCGCTCCGAATCCCAGCGCTGATCACCAGTTGTTGTGGACCGGGGTCCACCCGGTCTTTTGTGGTAGCGTGGTGTAGCTTCGGGTTGAGGAAACAAACGCTGACAAAATGGGGATACGAAAAACAAACAGGTTTGTGGCACTATTTACAATTATTTACAGCATGCATGAGGTTAGAAGTTTCACAAACCACGAGCATGGTGGTTGAACCGTTACATAGTTCAGAGCGACGTCCAGCACTCTGCGGCGTCGTTTTAAGCCCTGTAGGGCTCCTCCTCCTTGAGTGGCACGTCAATCACACACACACAAGAAACCGCCCACTGGCCATAATTCAGTAGCACATGGTCCGCCGAATGGTTTAGCATTTCTTGACGCAACGCTCTGAGAAGAGGGGAAACGGGGTTTCTTACCGGAACAATTTGGCGGTGGGTTGCTTCTTCCACCTTTCCCAGGAAGGGCAGCCAAGGAGTAAACACTTGAATCGCGGAGACACGACCTGTGTGGTTGGTCTGCTTCGCTGTCTAGCTAAACAAGCCGGCCCGGAGGAATCGCTTGTAGGGACATTGGCTCACGGACCGTCTTCTAATCCCTTTGTCGCTCCCCGCCACTGGATCCGAGAAACTGGGGTTCCGGGCGTGGGAGCGCTGCCCGGCTACGTTTCTCAGCGACAGCATGGCGCCTACTGACGACGGTCATAACAGTTTCCCCCTCGCCAGATGAGTCACGGAGGGCAGCAGTCACCGCTGCTGCTCGCAGGGACGTCGAAAGGGTCCGTAGTTGAATGCCAGGAACTCGCTTTCGCCTGTCGTATTGTCTGAGAATTGCCGAAAACTTCGACAGCATCTCTGAAACTGGACCACATGCTCAAGCAAGCATTCGGCCCCCCTCGAACAAACCAAGCCAAAAGAGGGATGGCAAATCAATTTTTCATTACTAGCTTTAACAAAAAGCTCACACTCAAACCTCTCAGGACTCACTTGCGCTGAGAAACCAGACGTGCTACCTTACACATTTAACATAATAAGATGCACGAAAGAAAAACTAAAATATAAATTTTGATACATCAAGAGCACCCCTAGATAGATTAGAAAAAGCGACGGAGTGCGTCAGCGTCTCCGTTCAATTTGCCCTTTATTTAATGCCAAAATGATATTTTCGAAGAATCAA